TTATTCCTCTCTTCCTCCTCTTCCCAAAAGCAAGTGAGATCCTTCACCTCCACAAAACATTTAATATCCTCTGTTTCGTCTCGCAGTAACTGGGCCACTGAATAATCATATCACATTATGTTGCAAGCATTATTCAAAGACAATTTTGTAATAAGCACAAGTACACAAAGCACAGGTCAACATAAATATAAAATCTTTAAAATGTATTAATTACATATTATGTAGGATAATATACATTTAAGAAGTTGCATATTTTATGACTTTCTTTATTTTGTTTGTTGGTGCTCAGTTATTATTAGTGCTCAAATATTAATAATGGTTCTTATTATCAATGTTGAAAAGTTTTTGCTGCTTAAAGGGATAGTTCACCTTCAGCTGCTGGTCTTCATTGACTTCCATAGTATGGGGAAAAAAAACACTATGCAAGTCAATGGGGAAGGTGAGCTATCCCTTTAATACTTTTTTTTCGGTAAACCACATGAATGAAGTAGAAATATCTTTTGTTTGTGACCTTATAAATATTTTCAACATTGATAATTATCAGAAATGTTCTTGAATCACAAATCAGCATATTAGAATAATTTCTGAAGGATCACGTGGCACTGAAAAATATACCCCAGCGACTTAAGACTGGTTTTGTGCTCCAAGGTCACATATATTGCAGCCTTGGTGAGCATCAGAGACGGTATTTTGATTAAAAAAGGTATATTGTATATACTGTTTTTAATTATACCTCCACATTTTTTGTTTTAAATCTAGAAAGTCAGGAAACATGCATGTAACTTCATAATGAAAACAATTAAAAGACATCTGAAAGAAAGAGTCGCTTTTCTTACCTTTACTTTCAAAATGCTGTCCTCCTATAGTGATGAAAGCAAGACACAACATAAAAACAATTTTCAATCTGTCACTCCTCATTTTTGTCATCCATTTACATTACAAATGCATCACTGTTCTGCGTAACAGTCCCAAAAGGTCTCTCCTCCTTTCCAGGTGGGTTTTTCGACCAAAGAATTGTTTTGCGGACACCATGGACAGTTACGTGCATCTCATCCGATAAGCTGATAGTGTGTTCAGACAGTGTGTTTACTCTTTGGAGGTGGAGCGGCAAAAAGTGTTGTTTACTGGGAGGAGCCTGAGAGGAGCCTGAGAAATTACTGAAAGAGTTGTTACCTGTAGCAGAAGAACCGCTTCTCAATATTATTAACTCGTCGTTGTCTTTAGGTCACGTCCCAAAACCATTCAAGCTGGCGGTTATTAAGCCTCTTATTAAGAAACCACAACTAGATCCTAGTGAACTGGCAAATTACAGACCCATCTCAAGTTTACTATTGTCATTTTGCATTATTGACACACTATTTTCCTAATTAATGCTGTTCAGTTGCTTTGACACAATCTGTATTGTTAAAAGCGCTATATAAATAAAGGTGACTTGACTTGACTTGACTTGAGAGAGAACATGCAGTCGTGACTGTTTGAAGTACTCAGTCTTCACTCTTAACATCATTACATGCAGCCCGACCTTGAGGCTTGAATAGGAAATAATATGATTTTTAATGGGTCTAAAACACTGATGCATGTTCATTATGTGAAGTGCAGTCAACAGGTGCTCAGTTGTAAGAGTTTTTAGTGTGCAAACTGCACTGGTGTTGTTCGGCACACAGTAACCGGTTCTTTTTATCATGGCCTGACACTCTTGTTTTTTTATGCTAAACCTGCGTTATCAGCACAGCGCTGAGCTCCTCTTACGCACAGATAAGCGCAAGCATTGCGACCCGATCCAGTCAGCCTGCAGCTCACTGTCCATTATCACTATGACAGCACTCAATGCTGTACCGTTTTCACTGTACCGTTATTTCAACCCGGGACACATTGTTAAGATGGGAAATGTGACACGCGATTAGGCCCACAGGTGGTTTTAATCATACATAGACTTTGTCTTTTTAGTAAAGAATTAATTTCATGTGCATTGAACAGAAATGATCCGATGTTGCTCCTTTAATGTACTCAAAACCAATTTAGACCTCTTCATTAAATGGTCTTCAAAAATACAATGAAAAGAATTGGTGTAAAAATTATTTTCACCCAGAAATTGCTAGTAAATTGCACAAATAATTACAAAGACACATGAATGAAATTTTGAAGTAGAAAAACTGAATTCGACATAGTCCAATAATCCTAGTGTTAGATGAATTCTTTGGAAGTTTATCTTATGTTATTTATCCCTATCATCAATCCATTCCATTCCATTGCCGCGCAGACCTATGAGAATGAATGAGCAGAGAGTTGGTGCACTACTAAAGCATTCTCAACTTTATTCAGGAAGTCATATTTTTACAAACAACATCAGCCTGGATGTCTGACACCCATTCAAAGTTTTCAGGAGTTATATGATACCTTATATGGATAGGAAAGAAATATATTTGTTGATTGTAAGGTGTAAAATGTGCATTTGCATTTGTCTAGCTGTCTAGGGGTGGTTTCAGTTTCTCACCCGAAATAGCATTAGCACAGTGTGTATGTGTAAAAGAGGAAGTTCATGAAGTGCATTTGCTTGAGAGACAAATGGACAGAGAGTGAAGCCTTGAATTAATGTTAACAATGGCCACTTTGAGTCATTTATGATTCATGGCTTCACTCTGGAGATATGCTGAGGCTGTTTTTAAGGGGACAGACCCCTGTAATATTAGCAAGCTTATTAAAGATATGAGCAAATAATTTATCAAACCATCAATACATCATAAATTTAGCTTTATTGGAATTTCTCATCATTTTCATAACACATGGCCATACAAGCAGAATAATAATGATGACCCATATATAACGACTCCTACTGTGATGGCTAAATGTTCCGATTTCAGTTCATCAGTGATTTCTCTGGCCTTTAATTCTCTAATTAGTCTCTCGTCAATTAATCCTCCATCCTTGTCATTGTGTGGAATAAATGTGCAACATATGGAAGGCGGATGGAGCCAAAAGTTCTGAAATTTGACCGTCAACACATGTTGTTTGTCTGCGTTAACGTGGCAATTTTGAACGGGTTTCTTTCGTACGTGTAGACATAGAAAATAGAAATAGTTTATTGCAGCATCGCTTTACTGATATTTACTATGCTAGAGTAAATTAATTAATGTTACAATGTAAATTAAAGGGGTCATATGATGCTATTTTAAAGATCATTATTTTGTGTATTTGGTGTAACAGAATATGTTGACATAAATAAATCTTAACCAATGATTCCTAATTGCATTTACTTCCGGAAGGCCAAATAAAGTGCTTTTACTTTCGCACTGATACACAGCGTCTCCCTGACATGGCTGCATCAACACAACTGCTGTTCCTGAAACCACGCCTTCTTTCTTTGCGTGCACATTTGGGCGGCATTATGCTAATATTTCCACATAGTGATGTAGATATGTGGGGCGTGTTAGAACGAGCCGTTTTAGGTAGGCGTGGCTGACTCTTAACTTTTATAAAGAATATCTCTTTGGATTTGAGACTTTAGTCTTTGCAACTTTACAGATCTTCTTTATGCACCAAGAGCTTGTAACACTCCAAAGAGAAAGGAAAACTTGAAATCGCATCATATGACCCCTTTAAGACTTTTCTACCTGAGAAAGAACATTGAACTAAACAACTAAAAATGCTTATACGCTTGACATCACACACAAAGCACTGATGCATTACCCCTCATGAACAAACATCTGATATTTGCATACAAGCAGTGTCCCATTATGACATCCTTCACGAATAAACATGATGTCTAATGTTTGCATAAGTATATACCAACGTACCATCACATCACATATGCTAATTTCGTTTCAAATACAGCAATTTAATTGGCTGCTGTGCGTGTTGCCACATTAACATGGACGAACGGTGCGTGTTGACATGGTCAAATTTCACATGTTCCGTTTAAAGGATTTCGGCCCCATCCACCTTCCATAAGAAATGAACGTGCAAACCCTTACTTCACTGGCCTCCATGTTTAGATACTGTTGACCCAAAAAAAAAAAAAAAAACGGTGACACTCAGGTCATTGGTGCATGTATTTCCTTCATTTCCTCTGGCTCTTGTGGTTGTGGGTTAGTGGTGTGTAACAGGAAAATGAAATTCAGGAAGCCCCCTTTCTTATAGTTTTCTGGGTACGCAGATAAAAGCAGAGGAGTTGGCAGAGATACAGGTATAAAGTCATAAATTACAGATGCTATCAACTCCAGCAAGTGCACAAAGTCACTTTCCTTTTTGTGCAAAGAAAACTAGAGCCTTCCGACTTCCTCAAGTGGAGCATCAACTGCAGTGATGCCATAGAAAAACCATTTTTGGTTCCCCAAAGAACCTTTCAGTGAACAGTTCTTAAGAGAACCATTTTTATTAGTGTTAAGAACATTTTAATAATCTAAAGAATCTTTTGTGGAATAGAAAGATTCCATGGATGTTAAAGGTTCTTCAAGGAACCAACAATGCCAATAAAGGACTTTTACTTTTAAGAGTGAAGGAGAGATTCAAGCCATATATAGAGACCAGAAAATTAAAGGCCAGCAACCTACAGCCTAGCAAACACCCAGCAATGCCCTAGTAACCATGCAATGCTAAAAAGCATTCCTGGGACTCAAAAATTAAGAGCGCGCAACACACAGTCATGGATACGAACTGATAAAAATATATGCATTCAATTCAATGTAAGTCAATGTTGATGCATAAATGTGTAAATGCATGCACTGTAAAAACAACAAAGTGTTCGTGCTGCCTTAAAATTGTAAAATGTGAAGTGTATATGAGTTCTAACTGCATAGCTAACTGCAACAATCATTTTTTCAATGTTATAACCATTCAGAACCTCTCACTAACTCCTTAGTTATGCAACAGGCAAGCAAACATTTTTTTTTTTAAATGCAATGTTATCAGTCTTGAATGAATACAATCAGTGCCTTTTAATGAATATGAAATAAAAACAACAAGCAGATAAGCACAAATGTTTGGTATAAACGGACAGGAAATGGAGAAAGCGACATAAAACAAAAGGAAACTAATCAACAATCTTACAGATCAACTTGTGTTGCACATTATGACAGAGTGTGTGTATATATATATATATATATATATATATATATAGAGGGGTCTTTAATAATGCATATATTGCACGGGAGGGTTTTATAAAGACATCTAAGTAAGTTTAACCTGTCACTGGTTCACAGAAAAGTGACATGGCTTGATATCATCCGACAGGATGAGAACAGGCGGGAAAAAGCTTCAGCAAGGCCACTATCTGTCTACTCTGAAGAAACACTGGACATAACGGACAGCCAGGAGAGTGCGCAAAAACAGAGATAGAGAAGACAAGAGAGTGTTCTAGATGGCCAAAACTCGTTTCTGCTGTGTCCACTGTACTGCTGCTGAATGAATCTCACAAAACTGATCAAGAGTTTTGTGAGATTCACTGATCATGATTGCACATATCAGAATAGCACAGTGCATTTATCTCCATAATAGTGCCGAATGAGCTGTTAGGACTGTAATTTAAAGCAGATGGACACCCAGATAGACAAGACAGAAGCTACCTGCTCAGGGCTGTGGGTGTTACAGTATCTGATGAGATAGAGAACATGTGCTAAAACCACAAAGATCCATCCAAACGTGGCCTTTTTGAGGGAAAGACAGAGAAAAGCTGGAGAACGGGGTGAGAGCGTGAGCAATGGGTGTGGATGGACCTTTAAAACGCACATACACGCGTGAATACGTACGGGGAGACACGCAGATCACTAGCGCAGTCAGATTTCAATCCACGCCATCCTATCTCGACTATCCACATCAACAAACAACACTGAGTGCGTTTAGCAGATGCTATTTGGGTTAAAAGAAGGAAAGCAAAGATTATCCCAAGTAGCAGTGAATAGGTGAAGAGAAGTTCTCTACGTGATAAAGACGGAGAGAGTGTGTTTTAGCAGGCACAGCCGGCGTGTCCCTCAGAGGAAGTGTCCTGCGGACTGGAGTCTTTGTGGTTGGACACTGGACCATCTCCGTCCATACTTTCATTCATCTTCTCACATATCACGTCCACCAGACACTCAAAAACCTGCTTCACGTTGATGTTGTCTTTGGCGCTGGCCTCAAAAAACTGGAAACCTGAGGAAACCAGAAAAAAGCAAAGCCAGGGTTATTATAGTTAACAGAAACCAAAATTAAAACAAAAATATTTTTGTTAAATAAAATAAACTTTTTATTTCAGCTAGTTGCCGAGGAAAAATTTCCTCAATTTAATTTTGTTTATCTTGATGTACAAAAATAGCTAAAACTGAAAAAAACCCCGATATTAATTATTATTATTAAATGTAATGATATTTAATATTTGTATGATGTATAGCATGATATATACAAAGATCCATGTATGATATGTTTAACTTTAAAACTCATTTACATACAATTTTACAATCAAAATTACACATTTAATTTATTTATATATGAAATATATTTATTTACATATATTTATAAATATTTAACTTATTTATAATCTACTCTTATTTATAAATAATTTAATTAATAATAATATATTTTACTTATAGATTAAGGAAATTATTGAGGTGTGGGGAGGTAAATAAATAAAATAGATTGTTTATAAATATTTAACAATAATTTATATTGCATTTTAGAACATGTGAATCAGTTATAAAACATTTTTTTATTTTATTTTATTTATCTTATTTTGTTTATATTTATATGCACAGCATTTTAATTATTATAAATTATTAAAAAACATTTTATATTACAATATACATTAATATATAAATTTATGACTGAATTTGTAAAATATATATATATACTATGACTTATAAAATAATGTATACATACATATATTATTTTATTTATTTTGGTAGATATTTTATCATCATTTGCATAAGGGTTATTAACAAGTTTTTTTTCTTTGAGGATTTAAAAACAAAATATGTTAAATAACTAAATAAATAAATGGGGACCAATTTTGTGGAAATATTCCCTGGTAACCAAGTAAAATTTTCTACTACATATACTTATTTTTAAACAGATACAGATGTAGATATAGAAATAGATGTAGTAATGGACTTCTGCAACTGTGGCATGGCAGTTAGTGCACATTGAGAATCAGATGGATAATGAGTTTGAATCTTGTGATTGTTCCTCTTCCAAGTCATCAAAATAAGCAATCAGCAAAAAGGCTAAAAATAAGTTGTAATGTGCATCTTCTCACCGAGTTCATGAGCCAATCTCTGACTGTCCTCTGTCGGAATGAGTCTGTCATCTTCCAGGTCACACTTGTTGCCCACCAGTATCACCTGTGCGTTGTCCCAGGAGTATGTCTTTATCTGAGTGGCCCTAAGAGCCAAACATACAGGACGTGAACATTAAACACTCTTAATACACACATAATGTACAGATGCATGCGTGTGTGTGCATGTGTGTCACTCACCAGTCCTGAACGGCGTTGAACGAGTCCTGGTTTGTGATGTCGTAGATTAGCAGGAAGCCCATGGCTCCTCTGTAATACGCTGTAGTGATGGTTCTATAGCGCTCCTGTCCGGCTGTGTCCTGAACAACATAATCATTACAGTAATACTTATTATATGCATGGATTCAACATCCTGGGTTGTGAGGCTGATGATGAGATAAATGGTCTTCATTTCCTATATTGACCAGTAGATGGCAGACAAGAGTTGTTGTTTTTTTTTCAAAGAAACACTACTATATTTTTTAAATGTCAAATCTGAAAAGCCTGTGTTATATGATGATTATCCATTTAACATATTTTGTTTTTAAATCCTCAGAGAAAAAAACGTGTTAATGACCCTTATGCAAATGATGATAAAATAACTACCAAAATAAATAAATAAATAAAATAATATATGTATGAATACATTATTTTATAAGTCATAGTATATATATTTTTAACAAATTCAGTCATAAACGTATATATTAATGTATATTGTAATATAAAATGTTTTCAATAATTTATAATAATTAAAATGTTGTGTATATAAATAAAAACTAAATAAGATAAATAAAATAAAAACATTTTTATAACCGATTCATATTTTCTAAATGCAATATAAATATTTATAAACAATCTAGCATCAATTATATTTTTAAATGTAACTTAATTTAATATGATATTTTCTATTTATATGATGCATAGCATATATACAAAATCCATGTATATTTAATTTTACGGACAAAATTACATATTTATTTACATTTCTATGTAATATATTTAATTAAAATAAATATATAAATAATATAATATAAAATTAAATAACATAAAATTGTTGAATTTTATATTTATAAAGATAAAAATAATACACATTTATGATATGTGAATAATATATAATATTATTATTATGTGAAGTATGTATATTAATGTATATGTGTGTGTGTGTGTGTATACACACACACACACACACACACACACTATATAAACAAATTTCAAATTATTTTCAAATTTTAATTTGTGTTTTCTATCTATCTATCTATCTATCTATATACACTGTATCTATCTATCTATGCAAATAAAAAAAATACAAATAATGGAATTAAAAATCATCATAGTCATATGGACTATTGGCCTGGGTTGGCACAGCAACTATGCACCGTCGCTTAGAAACCTGCTGGCCAAACTTATTTGCATGAAGAGCCATCCCATCATCAGAGAGGGAGGAGAGAACGTGTTGCCTAGGCAACCAGTGGGTCACACAGGTTTACACATGATCCATTAATGCTTGGCAAGAGTGACAAACAGCAGAAACGAGCTCCAGTCAACAGCCAGATGGACAAAAAACTGTGAGACTTATCAGAATACAGAGTGGTGAAATAAACAATAAACGTGCCCTGCATGAATATGTATTTAGATCAATAATTATGCAAGCACAATTACTATTCTCTTGTTTAGAATTATTTATAAAGACCAAAGTGCAAAGAGACAAGAAAAAGAAAATCTGTGCAAAACAAATGCAATGATTTTCTATTCGGCTAACGTATGCTTTATGAATCATAAGCATGAATCACAGTCCACTATGTCACTATAATATCCCCTTTTAGGATTTGCACCCACAACCTCAACGATCTTCAACCACTAGCCTATTTCTATTTCTAAATTATGCATAAGAAACATTTCTTCAATTAGAGTGAGCTACAAAAATGCATTGCAACCTTTTTATCTATCAAAAGTGTTTCGGTGCATCTGCAGAACTCTTTCTAACTCAGGGTCTTGTTGGACAGACAGTCAACAGCCGACAGATGCAGAGGTTCAGTGTGGCCAGCAGGCTCAAACTAACACACACACAAGCCTTTCTGTTACTGGATCAGAGCCAAAGCACACATTAAGACGAAACACACTGAATGCCATCCAGCTCACATTAATCTCTAAACTAAAACACACTGTAAAAACTACTTCAAAATGTCATGCTTAATTCAATGTGTTACTTGCCACTACTTTCTTTATGAAATTTACAAGCAATTTCTGAGTGAAAATTGTCCCCCCAGTTAAGACTAATATAACATTCACAATAGCATTCTACACTCTAAAAAATCCTGGGTTAAATATAACCCAGCGCTGGGTTAAAAAGGGACAAACCCACTTGCTATTTCTGCAATATATAGTATGTATGTGCAGTATGCAAACGTTTTGCATGCATAAAATACCTGATGAACTACAGTATACAGCATAGCACTGCATGAAATACTGCATCCCACAATGCATTGACTTGACCTTCATGTCCAGTATTTATGACGAATTAACTAGAAGTGATATCAGCCACATTCTCCTTCTCTTATGATTGAACAGCCAATGTTTTAACACAGGTTTATGACGTTGTAACACAGAATTGGATTAAAATGCAAAATAATAGTTTATGTATGTTATATTTTATGTATTTTTTTGTATGTTATATTCTCTTCTAATCTTGCTCCTTTGGAAAGCACTCTGGTCAGCCTAGTGGCTGTTGTAAATGTGCTATATAAATCAAATGAACTTGAACTTTTTATGTTTGCAAAATTATGACAATTGCTGAATTAAACATCATCAGGGTTATTATGGTTACCTAAAACTAAAACCATAAAACAATTTTGTTACTTGAAATCAAATAAATTTCAACTAGATTTATATATATATATATAAAAACATATTTTACTTCAGTGTATTGAAATAAAACTAAACTTAGGCTATTTTAAAAACATACTGTATTTCATTTAGTGTATCTTGATGCACTAAAACTGAAATAAAAATTAATGAAAACTATACAGACATTAAAAAACAAACTAATAGAAATGACAAAAACACAAACAAAATTACTAAAACTTAGTAAAAAAAAATAAATAAAT